GGCCTCCTTGCTTTATTGAGATATTTACTAATCCAGTAGGCCAAGTTCTGCCACTGTCGATGAATATTATTAAAAGTGTTGCCTGATTGCCAATCCTGTTTGTTTAAATAGGGCTACAGGGGAGTCTGAAGTAGAGCCTCGTTCACTTAGTGGAGTTCCACATAGAGTCCTCCTGGTGTGGCCTATGAAGGATGTTGTGTGCCTCAAAATAACAGGATCTAAAGCCCTGGTAAGAGTGTCACTCTTTTTGGGAGTAGAAAGACTCATCTTTCTCCTGAAGACAAGTGGGGCCTTTGACCTGCTGATCTTGTGGTTAGCAGCTCATTGGGCAACCCACTGCACTAAGGCTCCTATCCTTTCACCAGAGAAACTTGATTCCTCTTCTTTAACAGTTTGATTGTCATACAAATCACACCTAATTCAGTAGTTCAATAATATCAAAATGACTAGTGCAATCGTCACCACCGTGATATTTAGAACATTAAAAACATTTCTTATATTCATTGTTAGTAGCTCCGGTTTCCACCCCCCAAAACTCCATTTTCCCCTCAACCCCCTAAGGAATTAATCCAGTTACTGTCTCTGGAGATTTAGCTATCCTGGATTTCACATACAGAAAAATATGTATGACCCTAACTTTTTAACCTAGCTATGTCTGCAAGAATCTACTTTGCAATGCACTCCATCTGATAGCAAGGCTACTCACATCCTTGCTCAGTGGTCAGAGGGGATTCACTGGAGGCTTGATCCTCCTGAGAACCCTGCAAATGAATTTTGGGCTTTCACTGTCATGCACAGGCAAGAAGAACAAAGCATGGTTCTTCCTAGCAAGGACTTGAACAGACAATTCATGGAGAAGAATTAGGTAAATGTATATTCAAAATACAAAAAAGGCTTAATATCACAAGTATTAAAAAAAAGATAAACATCATTTAAAAATAAGTATGTCATATTCACTTATCAAACATTTAAAAAAGATAATGTTCAGTGTTTACAAATATATAATTAGGTAGAACCACCTATGCAGTTAACAGGAGTGTAAATTAGTACAATATATCTGAACAATAATTTAGCAATATACATAGATTTTTAAAAAGTAAATAGCCAGAATTCCACTTCTAAGAAAGGAGTCACAATGGTAGCTAAGATGGATAAAAATAACGATTGCAATGGTTTCTATAATACTGGAAATACTAATCTCAATATAAAAAAATTAATAACTTGAAGAAATGGGCCAAGTTGGAATATTATACAATCATTGAGTATTAGAGTTGAGAAATAATTTTAGAGCCAGGAAAATACCTATGATGCTAACATATAGCCAACCTCCCGCTGCCATTGAGTCGATTCTGACTCTTAGCAGTCTAGTAGGACGCCGTAGAACTGCCACACAGTGTTTTCAAGATGGTAAATCTTTCCTGGAGCTAACAGCTTCCTCTCTTTTCCCACTTTGTGATGAAGATCCACTGCTGAACCCACAGTACCGCCAGGTCTCCTCGTTATTTCCTGAGGCATTTTGAAATGCTGCA